GGGTCTAGCATGTGCAAAATGTCAAGAACAAGGGCCCAGCGTGTGCAAAATAAAAAGAACAAGGGCATAGCGTTGTGAAAGAGAGAACGAGAATGGAATGACTATGAAAGAAGTGAGTACAAATAGGAAACCCTAATTGGGTTGTACCCCCTATGGGATACCCCACTATAGCCTACACAATAGTATAAGCTATATAGTTCTGACACACCCCCATAGGCAAAGTGGGGGAGAACAAGGGGTCACAAGACCAGTCAAGCAAAGCAAAGCAAAGCTCAGGGTGGATCACAAAGTCACCACACATTCTGAGCACAAGTTCAAGGCCACATGGCCAGTTCACATGCAAGATCATATATAGAGATATACAAGAGTCAAGTAAGCAAGAGCAAGAGTATATATAGGCGAAGGTACAAGCAAGGTCAAGAGGAGAGCAAGTGAGGCAAGACAGGCACAAGACCCAACTGCGTGAAACAACGCTGATGATCACAAGGCGCAAGTGCCCTGGTGAAGACATCAGCAGTGTTGGCCTCAGAGGCCACGTACGCAAGTCGCAACTGTCCACGCTGCTGTAGCTCACGAGCAAGAAAGTAGCGGAGAGCAATGTGCTTCGTTCTGTGCTCCAGTCTCTGCTCTCGACACAAGGCCAGCATGGCCTTGTTGTCTACGTACAGGACTGGAGGAGAACGAGGCTGCTCTCCAAGGTCGGTCAACAGGTAGGTGAGCCAGCGTAACTCCTGTGCAGCCATAGCCCCGGCGTAGATCTCAGCCTCACAACTGGAGCCGAGAACAGAAGACGAGCGGGTAGCCCGCCACGAAACAGAGCCGGAACCAAGGCTGAAGGTGTAACCCTGTGACGACCGCTGCGTAGCCTGGTCGTCAGCCCAAGAAGCGTCCGCGTGCCCAGTGAGGACCACTGGACTGCGCCCTCCAAGCACTAGCCCCATGCCCGACGTACTGCACAAGTAGCGCAACACCCTCTTCGCTGCAGCCATGTGCTCTGGTCGGTGTCTCCCAGGAGCAACATAGCGTGCGAGAATGCTAAGAGGGTATGCAAGGTCAGGTCGTGTGCAGGTCATCAGGTACATGAGGCAGCCAACAAGCTCTGCATACGGGCCACTCGACTCTACGGACTCATCCGAAGGCAGAGCTGAGAGCGAGTGGCGAGTAGGCAGAGGAGTGGCCTGAGGCGAGGAGTACGTGAAGCCGAAGCGCTGAAGGACCTGCTGCACCATGTGTGACTGAGTCAGGGTAATGGTGCGGCGTGCTCTGTCCCGGGTGATCTGCAAGCCAAGATAGCTGCGCAGTTCACCCAGGTCAGTGCACGTGTGTCTCTTCTGCAGCTCGGACTTCACGTAGGCGAGTCCAGCAGTGTCAGCTGTGGCAAAGACCAAGTCGTCGACGTACACGAGGATGTAGAACGGCGGCAGAGAGGTGTCGGTGCGCAGAAACAGCGACGGGTCGGCAGTAGAAGGAGCAAACCCAAGTGCCGCGAGCGTAGTCCTCAGTGTGTCGTGCCAGTCACGTGGCGCCTGGCGGAGACCGTAGACTGGACGCCGGAGACTCCACTGGGTACCAGGAGGGAAAGACCCAGTGAAGCCAGGTGGGCGACGCAGCCAGATCTCCTCGTGCAGGCTGCCCTGCAAGAAAGCTGTGCTGAAGTCGAGAGAGTGCAGCTCGTAGTCACGGTGAGCAGCAACGTGCAGCAGGACCCGAAGAGTGGTCATCTTCGGGGTGGGGGAGAAGGTCTGAAAGTAGTCAACCCCCTGCCGCTGACTGAAGCCACGAGCCACGTAACGCGCCTTGAAGACAGGCGGAGAACCCGGCGGCCGCTTCACCCTGAAAATCCACATGCCACTGACGATGTTCGCCCCAGGGGGGGGAACAGCGTCAACGTAGGTGCCTGTGGACTTCCAGGAAGCCATCTCTGCATCCATAGCTGCCTGCCACTGAGAGGAGTAGGGACCCTCTATCGCCTCCGCGTAAGAGCGCGGAGTCGGGATGTCTGGTGCATCCGGGTCTCCCTCAGGGGCTAGCAGTACAGACGCGAGACGAGGTGAAGCGGCGGCCAGACACTGGAACTCCTCCTGCCTGTCCTCAAGGACGTCCGTGCCAAGGGCACACTCACCCCCGACGGACGGAGGACAGGCGGACTCAGACTCAGTGACAAGACGGGCAGCGTAGTCTAGACGACAGCGCGCAGCAAAGTCGACAAGCTCAGTGACAAGGGCAGACGCAGCAGACGACTCGAAGGAAGGGTCAGTGACAGCTGTAGCAAGGAGACGCGTGACAGTAGGACTGGCAGCACGAAGGGAGTCCGACTCCGGGTCGGCAAGAGCAGGAAGAGAGGAAGCAGGAGGAGAAGGCAAAGGGGCACGCAGAGGAGCAGTGGACGGACGCAGAGACATCCGGTGCGTGCCAGGGACAGGAGGAGGACGCTGACGCGACCCGCGACCACTAGCGCGCTCAGTACGAACAGGCGACACAGGACGAGACGCAGGCTCACGACGCTCAGTAAGACCTCCAGTCGGACCAGTGTAGGGAGACGGAGCAGGCAAAGGGGAGGCAGGCTGTAGCTGTGGCTGTGACCGGACAGGCTGTGGACCCTCTAAGGGAGGAGGAGGAGGAGGCGGAAGACCAAGAACCTGCTGCAGGAGCGGAACGAAGTAAGGTCGGGGCCGCGCGGCGACACCAGAAACAGCAGGAACAGTACCAGCAGCCCCGGCAGGAGTACCCACTCCAGCAGCACCTCCAGCAGCACCACCAGAAGCTCCAGAACCTCCAGCAGCAGCACCAGGAGCACTGTCAGTCGGACCGCCAACGGCAGGCTCAGCGCCAACACCCTCAGTAGCACCAGCTCCAGGAGAACTCTCAGACCCAGCAGCTCCAGCACCCACAGTACGAGCACCGGCGGGACGCGAGGCAGCAGTACCCTCAGCAGCCGAAGAACCACCAGCACCAGCAGCACACCTCCAGCGCCTGGCAAACCACTCACGCAGCTCCTGCGGGGAGAGTGGCTCCCGGCGAGAGGAAGCACCCCCAGGCACAGCACCCCCAGGCTCAGCACCCCCAGGCACAGCACCCCCAGGCTCTGCACCTCCAGGCTCAGCACTCCCAGACGCAGCACCCCCAGGCTCAGCACCCCCAGACGCAGCACCCCCAGGCTCAGCACCCCTAGGCTCAGCACCCCCAGGCTCAGCACCCCCAGGCTCAGCACCCCCAGACTCCGCACCCCCAGGCTCAGCTCCCGCAGCAGCACCAGAGTCACCAGTGACCTCGACAGGCTCGACCGCGTCTACCTGGGACACACCCGAAGGGGCAGGACCCTGAGGGGGGAGGGGGACTACCGAGGGGGGACCTGGTACCAGGAAGAGCGGGGGTGGGGGGAGGGACGGAGTGCGGTAGGGGAAGAGGCGGTAGTAGGGTACCGACTCGTCGAACGTGACGTCCTGGGAGGACAGAACACGTCGAGAGGTGGGGTGGTAAAACTGCCACCCAGGGGCGTCGGGGGGGGAACCCCAGGAAGACGCAGGGAGAAGCACGAGGGGACAGCTTGTCCGCAGACACGTCGCGAACAAACGCCCGAGATCCCCAGACCCGGAACGCCGACGCATCGCCAACCTTCCCCGTCCACAGCAGGGCTGGGGAGGTCTCCGGTCGAGAGACCCTGGGGTGGAGGTTGATCTGGTGCGCAGCGTACCTGACCGCAAACGGCCACAGAAAATGGGGAGCAGCCGCATGCATCATGGACGTACGAGCGACGTCCATGACCATGCCAATGCGGCGCTCAGCAATCCCATTCTGCTGTGGTGAGTCCGGAAGCGTGAAGGTCTGACGGATGCCTCGTGCACGACAGTAGGCACTCAGGAGGCCAGAGGAGAACTCTCCGCCTCTGTCCGAGTGCAGACGCAAAACAGGGAAGTCAGAGCCAAAGCTCCTCCTAAGCTGGAGACGAGCTGCGCGGATCCAGTCGATCAACACCGCAGTGACCTCACCCTTGCTGCGCAAGGGGAAGACTGTGGTGTAACGCGAGTAGTCGTCAACCACCAGCAGGAAGTAGCGCTCCTGACCCTGTCCACGGACGCGGGCTGGGCCCCACACGTCCATGTGAAGCGTCTGCAACGGGGCCTCTGTCGGAGGAAACTGGGAGGAGTGAGGGGCAGCCCGCTGGTGCCCCTCGACACAGGGGACACAGGTAGGGCCAGGGCCCGGAGGAAGGGGAGGGAGAGACCGGGGAAGACCAGACACAAGGACTCGCGAGGCCATGCCTCTGAGCCGAAGCAGAGAGGGGTGGCCAAGGCGGTGGTGCCAGAGGAGGGTCTCGTGAGACAGACGACGACACGAGCAGGGGGCAGACTCAGGACCAGACCTGGACGCTGCAGCAAACACCTGACCAGACGAAGGGACCCTACCAGACTCAGCACCTGGAGGAGAAGCAGTGGTCAGTGTGTACAGGCTCGACCCTGGCCGACGTGTAAACGTAGCCAGGTGGCGACCTGTGCTAGCCTCTGTGCAGTGGGTCACCCGCTGACGAGCAGGGGTGAACTGGTGGACACCCGCATCCTGGAGGTCAGCACCACTCACCAAGTTCGTCGAGAACGAGGGGAGGTAGAGACCAGTCAGGGTGCCAGAGGGGGCCGCCGGACACGGGAGGACAGTGGAGAAGCGAGACAGGACAGGCCCCCCAGAGGGGTCAGCCAGGGACACCGCAACCGGCCGACTCAGCGGCGTGAGAGTGGTGCGGTCCCTAAAGAAGGAGCGAGACGCTCCAGAGTCAAGGGTGAAGGTGTGAGAGGCCGAAGCCGACACAGTACCTGAGAGGGCAGACTCACCAGCACCTGAGAGCACAGACGCACTGGCACCTAGAGCAGCAGCCTCACTAGTACCTGACGCGGCAGTACCAATGCCCGGGTCGGGCGGGAAACACCGGTAACAGTCATCCTCATCACTACCAGTCACAGCATACATAGCAGAGAGAATAGCATCAAAATCAAGATCATAAATAGCTACACCAGCCCTAGACAGCTCTCCCCAGCGGGGGATCTCAGCGGCCTCCGGAAACTGCTGACGCCAGGCGTCGGTCAGGCGGCCAAAGCAGCGGCGGGCTGTGTGGGCGCCTCCACACCTCTCCCCTGCACGGTCACCTGTGCGAAGAACGTAGGGGCAGGGACCAAGCGCACCACCACGCTGACGCTGCAAGTACCACTCACGGAGCTGCTGAGGGCCGGGGACGGTGCGAGAGCGCTGCTGCTGCTGTGGCTGCTGCTGCGGCTGCTGCTGTTGCTGCTGCTGCTGCTGGCGCTGACCACCCCCAGAGCTGCTCCGCTGGGAAGAGCCACTCCGACCCCCGCCTCCACCGCCACCCCCGCCTCCACCGCCACCCCCGTCTCCACCGCCACCTCCCCCACCAGGACCGTCGCTCCCACCGCTCCCACCGCCTCCTCCGCTACCACCTCCGCCGCCACCTCCGCCTCCACCGCCGCCACCAGTACCTCCACTCCCGCCACCACCCCCACCGCCACCCCCACTCCCCCCGCCACCCCCACCGCCTCCTCCACCGCCCCCTCGAGCTCCACCCGCTCCCTTGCCCCCCTTGCTCTTGCCAGAGCGGCGTCTGCCGCTGGGGGCAGACGCCGCGCCGACCGACTCAAAACCAGTGAGGTCGGCCGCAGCGGCAGAGGCGACAGAGGGCAGCAGGGGGGAAGGACCACACCCCTCAAAGATGGGGGTGCGAGGGTCACCCCGAGAGGCCCCTACAGCGACAATACTCTTCTCAGCCGCTAGCAGGGACTCCTCAAGGAGGTCGACAGTGAGAGTGGTGGGACAGACAGAGAGAAACTGGTCCCTAACGACACGAAGGGACTCAGGGAGACGGGTGACGAGAAAGTAGAGGGTGATGTACATGGGAGGAGGGTTCGCAGCGCGGAACTCAGCAGGAAGGGCAGCGCGGTAGCGGGTGTCACTAGCACGGAGGTGGGTAACGAGGTCAGCGACAGTGGGAAAGGAAGCGAGGTCAGGGAAGAGAAACGGTAGCATGAGGCGGCTAAGGGTAGCGGAGGAAGGGGAGGAGTAGCGTGCAACTACAGCGTCGTACAAGGCCTGAGCGGTCTTGCACTGACTAAAGTGGGCACGCTCAGAGGAAGGGAGGTGGCGACGCACAGCAAGACGTGCAGCAGCATCGCGGGTCGCCCACTTGGAGCGAACGGCAGAGTCAGCATCAGCAGGTGGGGCAGGAACAGCGCCAGAGACAAAGTCAAAAAGAGAGACCTCATCTATCGCATCACACAGTAAGTACAGCTGCAGGTCTTCAATCCAGACGGCAAAGTCAATGGCCCTCCCCTCAGCGTCAAAAGTAAGAACATTGGGGGTGGCCATGGCAGCAGCTGGAAGTCTCACCGGGCTGGGAGAGTCGGGTAGGTCAGCAGCAGAAGAACACAGCTCAGGAACAGCAGCACGGCGGCTCGGGCGGCTCGGGCGGCTCGGGCGGCTCGGGCGGTTCGGGCGGCTCGGGCGGCGGCTCGGTCGCAGCTCAGCGGCGGCTCGGGCGGCGGCGGCTCGGCGGCGGCTCGGCTGCTGCTGGGCGGCTCGGCGGCGGCTCGGGCGGCTCCGGCTCGGCGGCGCAGGCGGCGGCGGCTCGGCGGCGGCCCGGGCGGCGGCTCAGGCGGCGGCGGCTCGGCGGCGGCTCGGCTGCTGCTGGGCGGCTCGGCTGATGCTGGGCGGCTCGGCGGGGCCGCGGAGCAGAGGGCGGCGGTGCCGCGTAGGAGAGGGCGGCGGGGCCGCGTAGCAGAGGGCGGCGGGGCCGCGTAGCAGAGGGCGGCGGAGCCGCGTAGCAGAGGGCGGCGGGGCCGCGATCGAGGGGCGGCGGGGCCGCGTAGCAGAGGGCGGCAGGGCCGCGTAGCAGAAGGCGGCGGGGCCGCGTAGCTGAGGGCGGCGGGGCCGCGATGTAGGGCGGCGGGCGGGCCTTCGAAGTAGGGCGGCGGGCGGGCCGGGACGTAGGGCGGCGGGGCCGCGACGTAGGGTGGCGGGCGGGCCGTCGAAGTAGGGCGGCGGGCGGGCCGGGACGCAGGGCGGCGGGGCCGCGACGTAGGGCGGCGGGCGGGCCGTCGAAGTAGGGCGGCGGGCCACGACGTAGGGCGGCGGGGCCGTCGAAGTAGGGCGGCGGGCAGGCCGCGACTTAGGGCGGCGAGGCCGCGCGATAGGGCGGCGGGGCCGCAAGGTAGGGCGGCTCGACAGGCCGCTAGGGAGGGCGACACGACGGGTCGCTAAAAAAAAAAAAGGACGCGCGCCTCGGGGCGCGCTTCGGTGGGCCCAAGAAACAGTCCCTAGTAGGGGACCTGCTCTGATTCCATGTGAAAGACAGAACGAGAATGGAATGACTATGAAAGAAGTGAGTACAAATAGGAAACCCTAATTGGGTTGTACCCCCTATGGGATACCCCACTATAGCCTACACAATAGTATAAGCTATATAGTTCTGACAAGCGTGTGCAAAATAAAAAGAACAAGGGCATAGCGTGTGCAAAATAAAAAGAACAAGAGCCTAGCGTGTGCAAAATAAAAAGAACAAGGGCCTAGCGTGTGCAAAATTGCAAGAACAAGGGCCTAGCGTGTGCAAAATTGCAAGAACAAGGGCCTAGCAATACAAAATAGCAAGAGCAGGGGCCTAGCGTGTGCAAAAAATCAAGAACAAGGGCCTAGCGTTCGCGAAATAGCAAGAAAAAAGGGCCTAGCGTGTGCAAAATAAAAAGAACAAGGGTCTAGCATGTGCAAAATTGCAAGAACAAGGGCCTGGCGTGTGCAAAATAAAAAGAACAAGGGCATAGCGTGTGCAAAATAGCAAGAACAAGGGCCTAGCATGTGCAAAATAGCACGAACAAGGGCCGCGTTCACGGGGCAGTGGGGCCGCAAGGGTAAGGCCGGCCGCAAGGGCGGCTCGGTGAAAGAGTGGCCCGAGGCGCGACTCGAGATGAGAGCTCTTCGGGCAGAAAAAAAAAAATTCGAGTGGTGGGCCCTAGGCGCAGTTCCCACAGGGGAACCTGCTCGATACCAAGCTGGGCCCTTGTTCTTTATTTTTTGCACACGCTAGGCCCTTGCTCTTGCTATTTTGCACTCGCTAGGCCTTTGTTTTTGCAATTTTGCATACGCTAGGCCCTTGTTCTTGCAATTTTGCACACGCTAGGCTCTTGTTCTTTTTATTTTGCATACGAGAAGCCCTTGTTCTTTTTATTTGGCACAGGCTAGGCCCTTGTTCTTGCTATTTTGCACACGCTATGCCCTTGTTCTTTTTATTTTGCACACGCTAGGCCCTTGTTCTTGAAATTTCGCACATGCTAGACCCTTGTTCTTTTTATTTTGCACACGCTAGGCCCTTGTTCTTGCAATTTTGCACATGCTAGACCCTTGTTCTTTTTATTTTGCACACGCTAGGCCCTTGTTCTTGCTATTTCGCGAACGCTAGGCCCTTGTTCTTGATTTTTCGCACACGCTAGGCCCTTGCTCTTGCTATTTTGCACTCGCTAGGCCCTTGTTCTTGCAGTTTTGCAGACGCTAGGCCCTTGTTTTTGCAATTTTGCACACGCTAGGCCCTTGTTCTTTTTATTTTGCACACGCTAGGCCCTTGTTCTTTTTATTTTGCACAAGCTAGGCCCTTGTTCTTGCTATTTTGCAAACGCTAGTCCCTTGTTCTTGCTATTTCGCGAAAGCTAGGCTCTTGTTCTTTATTTTTTGCACACGCTAGGCCCTTGCTCTTGCTATTTTGCACTCGCTAGGCCCTTGTTCTTGCAATTTTGCACACGCTAGGCCCTTGTTCTTGCAATTTTGCACACGCTAGGCCCTTGTTCTTTTTATTTTGCACAAGCTAGGCCCTTGTTTATTTTATTTTGCACACGCTAGGCCCTTGTTCTTGCTATTTTGCACACGCTATGCCCTTGTTCTTTTTATTTTGCACACGCTATGCTTTTGTTCTTGCCATTTCGCGAATGCTATGCCCTTGTTCTTGATTTCTTGCACACGCTAGGCCCTTGTTCTTGCTTTTTTGCACTCGCTAGGCCCTTGTTCTTGCAATCTTGCACATGCTAGGCCCTTGTTCTTGCAATTTTGCACACGCTAGGCCCTTGTTCTTTTTATTTTGCACACGCTAGGCCCTTGTTCTTTTTATTTTGCACAAGCTAGGCCCTCGTTCTTGCTATTTTGCAAACGCTAGGCCCTTGTTCTTGCTATTTCGCGAAAGCTAGGCTCTTGTTCTTTATTTTTTGCACACGCTAGGCCCTTGCTCTTGCTATTTTGCACTCGCTAGGCCCTTGTTCTTGCAATTTTGCACACGCTAGGCCCTTGTTCTTGCAATTTTGCACACGCTAGGCCCTTGTTCTTTTTATTTTACACACGCTAGGCCCTTGTTTATTTTATTTTGCACACGCTAGGCCCTTGTTCTTGCTATTTTGCACACGCTATGCCCTTGATCTTTTTGTTTTGCACACGCTATGCTTTTGTTCTTGCCATTTCGCGAATGCTATGCCCTTGTTCTTGATTTTTTGCACACGCTAGGCCCTTGTTCTTGCTATTTTGCACTCTCTAGGCCCTTGTTCTTGCAATCTTGCACATGCTAGGCCCTTGTTCTTGCAATTTTGCACACGCTAGGCCCTTGTTCTTTTTATTTTGCACACGCTAGGCCCTTGTTCTTTATATTTTGCACACGCTAGGCCCTTGTTCTTGCTATTTTGCAAACGCTATGCTCTCGTTCTTTTTTTTTTGCACACGCTAGGCCCTTGTTCTTGCAATTTTGCAAATGCTCGGCCCTTGTTCGTTATATTTTGCACACGCTAGGCCCTTGTTCTTGCAATTTCACGAACGCTACGCCCTTGTTATTGATTTTTTGCACACGCTAGGCCCTTCCTCTTGGTATTTTGCACTCGCTAGGCCCTTGTTCTTGCAATTTTGCACACGCCAGGCCCTTTTTCTTGCAATTTTGCACATGCTAGGCCCTTCTTCTTTTTATTTTGCACACGCTAGGCCCTTGTTCTTTTTATTTTGCACACGCTAGGCCCTTGTTCTTGCAATTTTGCACACGCTAGGCCTTTGTTCTTGCAATTTTGCACACGCTAGGCCTTTGTTCTTTTTATTTTGCACACGCTAGGCCCTTGTTTATTTTATTCCCTTGTTTATTTTATTTTGCACACGCTAGGCCCTTGTTCTTGCTATTTTGCACACGCTATGCCCTTGTTCTTTTTATTTTGCACACGCTAGGCCTTTGTTCCTTCAATTTTGCACATGCGAGACCCTTGTTCTTTTTATTTTGCACACGCTAGGCTTTTGTTCTTGCCATTTCGCGAACGCTAGGCCCTTGTTCTTGATTTTTTGCACACGCTAGGCCCTTGCTCTTGCTATTTTGCACTCGCTAGGCCCTTGTTCTTGCAATTTTGCACACGCTAGGCCCTTGTTCTTGCAATTTTGCACACGCTAGGCCCTTGTTCTTTTTATTTTGCACACGCTAGGCCCTTGTTCTTTTTATTTTGCACACGCTAGGCCTTTGTTATTGATTTTTTGCACACGCTAGGCCCTTGTTCTTGCTATTTCGCGAATGCTAGGCCCTTGGTCTTGATTTTTCGCACATGCTAGGCCCTTGTTCTTGCTATTTTGCACTCACTAGGCCCTTGTTCTTGCAATTTTGCACACGCTAGGTGTGAGAGGTCCAATGGTGATCCCCGATCGATCCTAGGGAAGGGTTACAGGCACGTTTGCCTGGGAGGTTATGGGCGCACTGACCCGCTACTGAAACAAGCCCTTTTATCCCAATGGTCTAGTGGTTGGGATTCTGAGACTAGGCCCTTGTTCTTGCAATTTTGCACACGCTAGGCCCTTGTTCTTTTTATTTTGCACACGCTAGGCCCTTGTTCTTTTTATTTTGCACACGCTAGGCCCTTGTTCTTGCTATTTCGCGAAAGCTATGCCCTTGTTCTTGATTTCTTGCACACGCTAGGCCCTTGCTCTTGCTATTTTGCACACGCTAGGCCCTTGTTCTTGCAATTTTGCACACGCTTAGCCCTTGTTCTTGCAATTTTGCACACGCTATGCCCTTGTTCTTTTTATTTTGCACACACTAGGCCCTTGTTCTTGCAATTTTGCACCTGCTAGACCCTTGTTCTTTTTATTTTGCACACGCTTGGCTTTTGTTCTTGCCATTTCGCGAACGCTAGGCCCTTGTTCTTGATTTTTTGCACACGCTAGGCCCTTGCTCTTGCTATTTTGCACTCGCTAGGCCCTTGTTCTTGCAATTTTGCACACGCTAGGCCCTTGTTCTTGCAATTTTGCACATGCTAGGCCCTTGTTCTTTTTATTTTGCACACGCTAGGCCGTTGTTCTTTTAATTTTGCACACGC